CCTCTGCATCTGTGGGCTGGAGAAAAGGATGGAGAGAGAGAATGGGGGAGAAAGAGAGAGACAATTGTAACCTTCTCTATCGCTGCACTGCAGGCAAACAAGGTGGGGGTTGGGAGATTCTTTATGCTCTCTTTTTAATGCATTAGGGGTATGTACAGTCCTTCCTGTATGTGTAAAGAGCGAATGCCATCGAATTGAAAAGGGCAGCGACCACACGTGCTCTTTACCTTCAGAGATTTGACCAACCTTTATTGTATATTTGTGTAACTCCAATGACAGGGTGCATCAGAGGTTGTAGAGACATCCTCTCATCTCTCTCTCTGCAGATTTCCTCTGAGGGTTCGTACTCATTTCAAGAGCAGTTTCAAAGATATATAAGGAATTTATTTTGGCACTATGTTTTCTCACCTGGGTGTTGGCAGAGTGACTGCAACTGCGATTGGCCTCCGGTCTCTGCAGGATGCCTGCCCATCTCTGCTACTGCAGATGACACTGGACTATAAAAAGATCAGATTGTCCTGACACAGATGACAGGCAGACTTTTGTTTGCTTGTATTCATATGATGCTTCCACAACCCCCCCTCCCCCTCCTTCCCCGCCCTGTTTCTTCAGAACTTCCCCTAACCACGAGCCTCGCACAGTCACACCAGCAGATGCGTCAATTTGTCATGCACAAGAAACCCCACTCCAGCAGCCATCTGTCTCCTTGTGTCTATTACCATGCATTGGCAGTTTGTTGTCCTATACACATATACAGCTGTGATGGCGTGCAAAATATGTCGAACCAATCTCATGACTTACGAACCTCATTCTGAAATCTCATTTGCGACCTATCCGTGACCCAGGTAACAGGAACCAGAAAGAATATGCTGAGTGTCACCATATATAAGTTTGCCATTTGCAACCCTGCTATACTGTTACCTCCACTGGATAGCTGGAATGAATTATTATGGCTAGTTAAAATGAAATTTGACTCCTGCTGACCTGAGTCCTTGCTGACCTAACAAAAACAAGATGCCAAAATGGGTAAAATGCAAGGGAGGTCAGGAGGCTCGCTTTACCTCCCACTGGAAAGTGATAAGCAAATTCAGTCCATTCAAAATATGGAACCTTGCCTGTAAACTACACAAAGGTTATGGGCTGATATATGTCAATATGGAGTATATATCAATATAAAACTAAATGACAGGCTATTTTGACATTACAGCCATATTTACCTCCACCTCTACCCTACACCTTGCATTTGTAGCGATGCAGTGTATGAATACCGTTGCATGTGTCGCCTGCTCTTGTGCCATGGACCCTGCTCCTGGTGTGAACAAGGGATAGTATGAATACTGCTTCAAAGATGCTGCTTACCATTAGCATGCGGCTCCCACTTCGTGTGTGAGCTTGTAACCACAGTAATCCCCCGTTTTACTGTTATGATTTTAGAAGTAGTCCTAACTTTGAAGTGGGCTTTTAGGGTGTAAATGGATATTTATACATTATTCCTTTCTATACAGGGAACCTTGAAATTTATGCCACAAATTTTGTCCACACTTAAATCATTAAAACACAACGTATTGTTTAAAACTAGAATAATTAGATGTCAAAACCAAATTATTTTCCTTCAGATGGAGTGCTGTTCCTTTTCTCTTCTCCTATTAGCTCCCTACACACACTGATTAGAATACATCCCTTATCACCCACTGCACCTAAGAACTGTTGAACACCTATCCACAGCCTATATTGTAACATTAAAGCAGTCAATGGCCACATACTATCGCATCAGCCCCTGGCATGGAGTAATGCAGTGCAGGCTTTCAGGGATAGAAAGATGCCTATCATTCTTTGCTGAGCTTTTTATTCTGCTCAGGGCTACGTGTTTAATATGACTCCACAAATGTGATTTAGTGGGCAGATAGCCTTGAGACTCTCGAGGTCACTGCTTCAGAGACCAGTGGTGTGTAGAATATGGCGGCAACGCATGCAGGTTCATGTTATCTTGTTGATATCGAATATATTGTGGACGCAGAGAGAAAGCAGAGACATTCCTGACAACGAGGGTGTGGATGGTGATATAGCACAAGGGATGTTATTTACTACATTCTTTTTTTTTTTATCATTGATGGCAAAAAGCATTCAGAACTTAACGCATTCTTTTACTGGCTCTGTCTTTCTCAGTGATAATGTATTCATTTGAGTATTGTTCTCATTATGCACTCTGAAAGTGTTCTCTCACTGAGCAGCAAATGTGGATGAAATTTGTCCCATCCTGTCTGTATTCATCCTGGATTCTACAGATTTATGTTGCAGCTGAAGGATGTTCTGTTCAATTTCTGTCAGGGACGGCAGTGCTGGTGGCTGCGCGTGTGTGTTTGAGGCCTTTTTTTCAGTAGTGCATCAAGGACATATGGACCAAACTGGACCATGCCTTTCTCATTGTCATTTATGAGTCATCATATAAACTTCCTTTTACATATTTATAAATTTGACATGTATCTGTGCAACAACATGCACGATGAGTAAACCATAATTTATTGATAATTTGCCGAATTCCAAAGATGTTATACATGTAAAGAAAATTGGTTTTCAATGATAAAGTAATTTTATATCAATAAAAATTATGTACAATAATTGGTAAAATAATCAGATTAATTAAAGATGAACTGGAATCCAAAATGTGAAAATGTTCTTATATTTGCTTCTCTTCCAACAATATACATATATATATATTTGGCATATACAGGATATAATCTAGATTAATCAGGATTTGTCTTGAATAATAATGACTGTTCAATTTTCCTTAACTTTTAACATTTTGGAACCACACTGGAGCTGACATGGAAATGTTATGGTCAGATTTTAGGATTTAATATGCAGCCATTCAATCACTTACCCTGACAAGTCTTTCCCAGCTACACTATATCTTCTACACTATGTCTTCTCTCGACTCTTCACCCGTTACAAATTATGGTCCAATTCAAACTTCATTTTTGGCCTCAACAGTTGAAGTGTACCCTGTATATTTTTTTACCACACTGGAAAATGTTCGACAGCCTGAACCCATCACATACTCGTGGATACGGAACCAGCATGGGCTCCCGCAGCCCATTACTCTGCTGGTGCAGTTATAGTTATGGCTTTCTTTGTAGTCACAGTGAAAGGTTGATGTGCCCCCAGATGACCGCCCCCTCCTCACAGGGGTCCTGCGTTATCTCGCTTGTCTCTTTGCAGGCCTGAATGGGCACATTGTGCTGCTGCCCACTGCTGCTCTGCAGACCCTTAGGTTCTCCACACAAACACATACACACACACACACACACCTGTCAAGCCACGTCCTTGGCGCCTTGGGTGCTGAGACACTCCAGAGCCCCCCTACTGCACACATGGCAGTTGAACCCCCATGCACCCACAAACACAGGCCTTAAAGCTGTGGCGTTTGAGTAAATAATTACACGGGGTTACACGGATGTGTGTGCAGACACATACATATATACATACACACAGATGTATACACTTCACGTAAACAGAGCTTGAATACACTGACACACATCAGCCCTCAGACACACACACACACAGAGACTGATATATATTCATTGACTTGAGTTTATTGGAAACACACTTCGACAACCCCACGACTCTGCCAAGGTTATATTCAGTGTGCAGGTCGGCTTCAGAATTCACAAAGGGTCAAGTTCCATATTTGTCAGGTTGGGGAGGGCAAGGGCACAGGAGGCTGTTTGGAGGCGCATGCTTCCACACGAAGAAACTCGATCCGTGTCTTCAATCAGTTGCAGATTTTCTGTTTTAGACTTGAGAAGCAGAATAAAGGGCCACAATTAGTCTCCCATCCTCACATGAAGTCACTGTCGTGTGTGATTTACGTTAATTAAAAAGACTTTGTGTAGATTTGAGTTCCATTTGTTTTGACACCTAATTATTTTAAATTTAAAACAGGAAGTTCTGTTTTCATGTTCTACACTTGAACTGAAAAAAAGAAAATCTGTGTCTCTTTCTTTTTTACATTATCCATGCCATAAATTATTTTATGTTTATGGTGAAATACTTAAAAATTATAGACATAGCCATAATTGCTGGAGATTGATTCATTGAGTCATCAAGAACATAGAATTGTATTGATCTTTCCATGTAGTAAGGAAGCTTTAGCTCAACTTTTTTGTTGTTCAGTTCTCAGGGCCCAACCTTGGCTGCATAAATACCTAGTACAGTATTGACTAGGGTTAATCTCTTTTGACCACCTAAAGATAAATCCCTTCCTTTTTTGATTTTCATGGTTAAGATGCAGACTGTGTCTCACCTCCGGTTCCTCCATTTCTTTTTGTGAACATCTCTCTGTGGCCTTGGCCAGGAACCCGGCCTAGCCTGGTTTATCATCAAAGGTATATACTAAATGGCTGTTTTTACATGCTAACGATGTGCATCCTCATGAAGGATCAACTGTCGAGTCTCTCCAGTGTCACCCATACAATTTTCTCCTCTATTGACTTTTATGTTCCAAGGTTGGCAATTGTTGTGGGAAAATACTCTATATTTATTCTAAATAAAGACCAGGCTGATTATCATCATGGTATGCGCCTGCTTAAACGTAAACTGGTCCAAGCAAGTGCGGTGTAGACATGCGGCTTTTTGGGCAGCTCGCTTTTTGACAGTACATTTCATGTATTCCGTATAGGGTGTCGGCGTCATAAAGCTTTTTAAGTATTGCCTTTGAGGTGGGATTGCTGTTGGGACCATGTGATAACTGAAATCTCGTTCTGGCTGGGAAAGCAATCGGGGGCCCGAGGACTACAACTGATATTTACATAAATATTCAAACACACGGGCTTACATACACCCACGTATGAAAATTTAAAAGGAAGAAGCCGTGTTCCACTTTGGCTGAATGCCTCATTCCAGAGGCTGTGTGTTCGTCACTGCCCTCTTTCTTGTTTCTGCAGACACATACCAGAGCAGGCACAAACCAGAGCACATGCATGTTCTACATAATAACCTGCAGACTCCTTGCTGAAACTCCCCCATTTCCAATTAAGGCCAATTATAGCACGTGGATGAGTTCATATTCGCAGGAAATACTGTGGTGTCCTTCCTCTCACAGTCCAAAGACATGCAGTCACAAGTCCTTCACAGATGGTGCCGTGATGAAGTGGTGCTCTGTTCAGGTGCACTAAGCTTTTCGCCTTAGGTGTGACTAGTAAAGTGACTTCCTGGTGAGTGAATGTGCAGGTGCATGTAGAGTCAGTGCATGCATAAGTAATGAGGAATGGTAGGAAAAAAAACAAATGAGATAATGGACATAAAAGACAAAAAAAAACAAATATCAATATAAAAAGATAATGGACATAAAAGACAAAAAAAAAGAGCAGAGAGTTCATGAAAGAGACTTAAGAATGAAACGGCTGTGATGTAAGTGTACATTATCTCACTGCAGCTGCCAGCAAGCTCAGTCAATTGTTATCAGCTTGGCTGAAGTTAATGTGACCCCTGAGGGTGAGGCTGCTATCCATGCATTATAAATGCTACCCATTGACTAAAGTTAGTAAGCTTTTCCTTCCGTCTAAATGAGCGTTTTCTGATGGGCAATGATTACTTAAGTCTAGTGTGATTTAGAGGAATGTGTTGCAAAGATTATCTGCATGTTACATTTAGCTGTTGTGATGAATCATTAGCTGCTGCTTTTCCTTTTGCTGTGGTCTGCTGTATTGGTGTATTTAAGAACAGTCTCATCCTCCAAATGTAATATCCAGAGATGTAATAGTTCGATTTAATGAAAGTCATGTTGTGATCTCTTTCGGATGCACTTACCTGAGGGCACAGAATCTTGTATAAGCCAAAGTCATTCCTGCCTCTGTCTCTAAGAACTGCAACAGAAACACTTTTTAGTTCTGTCGGACAGAGCTGCTCGTTTACAGTGTATATATTAGGGCTGTCGAAATGTAAGCATTTCCTGGGAGTTTTAAGTTCTCAAATACAATTTATTAAAATGTTACATATACATATAAATACATTTCATCAATTATTTCAGCCTCTGTTTATGTATCATCGCTCCAACATGCGGTCGATACACTTGTCATTTACACAAGCTTGATGCCTTGACATCTTGATGCCCAGCATGTGTTTTGGGTCATCTACCAGCTCTTATTTGTAAACCAGTTCCAGCTATATTCAGATGTTTTAGTCACATTAAGAAATATTGAATTGTCTCATTGAATCATAAACAATTGTGATCAATCCAAAGCTACCCTGTGATTTGTGAATTTGGCAGCCCTTTTATATAGTTTTATTATATATATGTATATGTATGTGTATACATATATACATGTATGTATACATATATATGCATGTATGTATACATATATATACAGTATATATATATGTATGCATGTATGTATATGTGAACAGCATCAGTTGGTGTAAATTGTGCGCTCCTCAGTCTGGGAGTATGTAGGTTACTCCAGGCTGACTCTGCTTGTAAAAAGATGCCACCATTTCAAAAGATTTCTGTTCATTAGCCATATCTCCGCTGCCTTTGGCCTCAACATTTACAAGTTGGTCGACCTGCTGCAGTGTTGCAACCACAAGGTCATTTCATTTAATGCCCCGCTCTGTCGATTAGGGCTTTTGTTGTGAGCGGCCCAGACTACTGTAACGCGGGTGTTTGGGTCAGCGTTGGGAACAATAGCTTAGTTACTCTCACTGACTTCCTTCCCATCTCTTTCTCAGCACATTTTCCACTTGGCTGATAAAATAAGCCGGTCTTTGATGAGCTTTGGTCAGGCCACAGTGCTGCGCCTCAGTAAATGCTTTTATAGAGACACACTCGCACCACAGGCTGTCAACTTGGATCAGTCATACAGCGTCTGCATGTGGCCAGGGTTTCTGCATGTGTGCTTTTGTTTTGTGATGACATTTTTTCTTACTGTCGCTAGAGGAGCTAATACATACTAAGATGTTTGCCCGGAGGCAATATTTTGTTTGTTGGTCAAACTTCCACCCAAGCACCTTTCACAGTGATTAATTTTCTACCTACAGGCAGCGTGAAGCCCACGGCAAAGGTAACCAACAGCTGCAGAGCCAACATAGGTGACAGCAGCAGACGGCAAGTGCAAATAAAAAAAAAAAAGAAAACTGAACAAGTAATGAATTAGCAGACTATTGTGTTACTGCAGTAGCTCTTACCGTTAACCCTCCTTTTTTAAGGAAACTACTCTGTTAGGTGTGGTGAGATTTATAGTCAGTTTCACGCCTGACTCGAGTCCACGGTGATGTCTTAACTCACTGTGGCACAATAAATCCATTTTTTTGGGAAGGGTGTGAAATCAAGTTGGGACTAAGTTCATAGCAATGAGAGCAGAACAGTCACACTGTGTTTCTTCTCTTCCAGAAGATAATGTGCTGGAGAAAAAGGTCCTAGAGACTCTGAGGACATTTTGTTAAAGCACTAAAGCTGCTCTTCAACTTTTACCCTTAAACTCTCTTTGCACTTATTGTGCACCGTGAGTATATTTAAAGTTTTATTGGTCCACTGCTTACTTGAGGTTTGGAAAAAAACATCATTCCCAGATCATATATATTAACTGGCTACATCCAGTTCTCTTAGTGAAAAGTAAAAAAAAAAAACAAATGTTGGAGGTGCTGAATTGAACTAAAACAATGACCATTCATATTGTATGAAATAGAGAAGACAACTTTTTTCAAAAAAAAAACTTCCTCTTGGGGGATCAATTTCTGTAAAATAAATGGTCATAATTTATTAGCTCCAACTGTTTTCTTTTTTGTGCTTCCATTAGCAAGATGGTAAAAGCAGTCAAACAGACACCATTCCGGTCTAGTATTTAGGTTGATAGTCTATTGTGGCACCCATTGGTTCTATACTGAGTTGGTAGCAAATTTTACTTCAATCCATTACAATTTTTCTTTTTCCTTTATCAAACTTTTCTTTTGAGCTATAACCATTTTAACCTATGTGGCAGCCTGTGCTAACTTGTGATTTTGTGATGACTAGACTAGCAGTTGGTGGGATGCTGCAAGGTATCACTGTCCTAGGACACTGAAGGTATCACTTGCCATTCATTGGTTACTTAACCTTTATTTTAAGGTTTTGCATAGATGTCAAGCTGTTTTTGAGGATGATGTCAAAGAAAAAGAGCTGTCCACAGAAAATTCAGCGTTCATTTTAATGTGCACACTTAAAACACCAATCATACCTACTTCAGTAAAATAAGCAGATATAAATTTGCAAATGCACCATTGCCCATTAAACCTGCAAGCTTCTGTCTTGGTCTAAATCAGTGCCTTCATTAACTGGTCCTCCTTGGCACCAATGAGCAGCTTTCTCTCAAACTTTCATGTCGGGTCATCCATGCTTGGTACTTCAGAGAAATTGCATATCTCCGGAATGAACATCCGAGAAGTAATGGTACAAGATAGCCTTAGGTGCCAGGAACTGCCTGGTGTACATTTCTCTGATCCCAAACCCTTTGAAGATATGAAGGAAGCTTCAGTTCCTGTCTTACGCCTGTTTCTGAAACACCAATGATTTCAGTAAAATAGGTTTCAGTTTGGGTCTAGCAATGTCTCCGCACTGTTGTGATAACCAGGGCAACAGAAAGAGTTTATGTTTCTTTCATTGAAAATGGTACGTATGTCAAATTAAACATCTTTGCCATTTCTGCAATTAGATGGAATTAGGTCAGAATCAAAACAGGATCTTGAGGATGATGAAAGCTGGCCACCGTTCATTAAACCGTCTGGGATATCATTTCTATGTTTTTTTTTTCTCTGTGAACTCCCATGTCCTCTTTTGTGCAACAGTTGTGGTCCGGATTGTTACAATATGGTGAGAGTGTGTTTCTTTTGCAAATACTTCCAGGCCTTGCTAAATGACTGGCAGATGCTCAGTTGACCAGACTGCCTTCTGCGGTTCTGCAGATTTGACCTCTGGCATCTGCTGTATCTGCCACAGCCTTACATTTGATCAATGGGTGAACAACAGATTGGATGAATTACAGCCACAGCACTGCTTCTGTAGCCAAGATTGTCAAGCCATTGTGCTGAAATTATATTTTCAAGTTTGGCAATAAATCAGAGATTCTTTTTTTTTGCACAATCAGTATAGGGAAAATGGAAGAAATGAAACATTATTGTAATTTGGTAACATATTTTGTAGACTCACAATGACGCCAGTACACGTGTGGGTAGGTCAAAAGGTTCTAAGACCTATTGTTAAATTTTAAAATGTGTCTAAATATCTTAAAAATGTTACGAGTTTCAGGCATCTCCAAGAACTTTGGTAAATATTATTATTAATATTATATCTTTGTCATCTGTATTATTTTTTATAAGATTTGTTTTTCAAAAATTTCTTCCAAGTAACAGAAACCAGTACAAATTATCTAGGGTTTGAGCTACCACCATCTATATTTTTTCCCCCAAAATGAAAAATGTGTATTTTAGTCCTGAGATTAGTCAAAAATACAGATTGCGACCCAGTGCAGAAGACATCTCCCAGAATTCCAGAAAAAGAATTAATCCGAAAAACAACACTTACAGAAGTGTTCACTCCTAAATTCAGGATGTATAGAAATAACTTTGTTTACAAATATTTATTTTTTTCAATGTAATTTTAATTTTTTTTTACTTTCCTGTGATTGACAACACAAAATTTCTCTTTTTTTATTTTGAAATATATTTTTTATCCCTTGTTTCCTGCTTTTTTAAATTCATTTTAATTTATTTACATCTTCGTCTGCTGCAGACCCTTCAGATGCACAAGGGCTAGTGCTCATTGCTCTTTATCGTTTCAGGTGAATCGTAATTAAAAAACACCTAACGATGTTTTGCATTACCATCAGTGAAGGACTGTATATGTGGTTTGTGCTTTGTTGGTTTTGAAAAAACACTCTTTAAACTTCCATCTAAAACTTGGTAAAACTGTGTCACCAAGGTCATTAATTCAGCCATAATTAAGCTTGACTACCTCATCTCCTTACGTTCTGTATCAGTCAGCTGAATGCGTCAAAACAAAAAGGAGTAGCTGGTCATGAAAGCTGAAAGAAAGGGATCAAAACAAAGGATGACAGACAAAGCCAAATGTGTGCTGCGGGAAAAGCAGATTGCGCAAAAGGTAGGCGAGCGAGGTGCTCATCAAAATGCTAATGTCGTACAGGAAATTTATTGCCGTGTGTTAGTGCAGTTTAAAGCAGGCTCTTTGTTCCACGGCGCATCACCAAAGCCCCAGTTGGGCCCTAATAAATCAGCCATTAAAAGCTGATGTGACCTGAAAAGCACTTCATACAGCGACAACTCCGCTCAATGGCCAATGTGGGGAAACGAGACAACAGCTGAAAAATTTATGAAGACGCCACTTAATAATGGCCGTCCCAGATGAGACCGGAGTTTATGTTTGTGCATGACAAACCATTACTGCCGGCGTTAAAAAGTTCTTTTTTCCTCCCTGGGTCTTAGATGTGTGCCGTCTTGTTATCTCTGATTTAAATTTGTCCTGGCAGACATTAAAAGTTCGTTCTTTTGCTTCCTCTTTCTCTGGATTTAATTATGTGCCCAGTCAGATGTTTTGAACAAAATCAGTTTTGTCTTCCTGATGCAACACTGTCCCAATCTCTGTTTCCTAACCTACTGTCTCTGTGTTTCCATCCAGGACAGACCATGGTTTTATTTTCTGGAGTGTGATTGGACTGGAATTCCGAGGAGGAAGATTTCCACAGTTTTTTACGCCCAAGGTATTGTAGATTTTTTTTTTTTTAAGAGCTCAACTTGAACTCAAAAGTGTAATTTCTAGTGAAATGTGAGTGATGGACTCCAGATTAGGTGCAATCACTGGATCCTACCATCACCATGTGGTAATGGAGACCAATCACGTCAACTGTTCTGAGGCTGCTGTCAGATGTGTGTGAAAGTGATTAATGATAGGTACTCATCTTCATTATCTTCTTATGCAAATCTGTGGGACATGTCTGCTCAGTCTTTCTCTTCAGATGCCAGTGTCAAGGAGTTTTTTTATGGGACAAATATCACCCAAGCATGTTTGGATTTCATTACCTGATGCAAATTGCATTTTTTGATTTAATCATGCAAAAGCTTAGCTGACTTCCACCTCTCTAGATCACTGCCCTGCTGCCAGCCCACCCTCCTGCCTTCCTCATGCTACATGTCCTGCCTCCTCCTCCTCCCTGTCTGTCTGGTGTGTGTTTGCTCTCTGCTTCTCCTCCTCATCTTTTTCCCCTCATTTCCTGGCTCACTTGTCATGGCAGTGAATGCCCCCTCCCCTCCTTATCCTATCAACATACAAACACACACACATAGAGCGCCGCCATGGCTGTCCCCCCCCCCGCCACCAACCTGCTCCACTCTGAATGGAGCCACTAGCCTCGACGCCTCCTGTGGTGAGTCTGGATTGAATTCAATTAGGAAGATTGTTTGCCCTCCAGAGTTTCGTGGGCTCTATGGATGATAGGTTTGTCCACCGACCAGCTCACTCACTTACACACACACGCACACACAAACATGCCCCTGCAACATCCATCTCACCTCTTTCCCCTCCATTTGACTCCATGCATCCACCACGTCCTTTAAGTCGTTCCCTAACTAGTCCCTCGCAGCGGTGCGTGTTATTTTGTTCATACATTGTCTACACCCTGGGGGCGATCCCTTGTTTCCTGTGCTGTTTTATGATGCTGCATTCAACAAGATCAAGGCATGAAATCTCGCTCTGAGGAAGAATGTCTCCTATAACCTTCTGATGAGCAGCAGATTATATATTTTTATTCATGCGACCAAGTCTGGATTTCTTTTTCATTTTTAAGTGAAAGTTAATGTAGTTAAACTACAGTCAAGCTTAGCCCTTGTGATTACACACACACAAACACACACACACACACAAAGCCCCATATTAATTTGCCAGTTCTCCAGCATATCCAGCACTAAAGGAAGGGCGGTAAAAGTTGCTGACATAAGGAGTAATGGTCACATTAGTTGCAAGGTGAAAATAGAATTGTGCTGTCATTTGAATAACACTGAGAGCAGCAGGCGGTGCTGATGCGTGGCGCTGCCTTGTGCTTTTTAGATATGAAGTGTAAATCTGTGTTCTTTGTGGACTCTGATTTCACCGTCTCGTCCTGCAGCCTGCTGTTTTTCTCCAGATGTCATGCTGCGAGTCCATGTACGGTCTGCTTCTCAGATATCAGCGAGACTATTAGGCCTGAAAGATGTCAAATGAATTAAAAGCTGGGGATCAGTTTGAGGATAAATATCCTAACGCGTCCTGGCATGGAATTACCACCTTCATTTGGTGTTCCTTCTTTTTTCCTCCCCTAATTTGTGCTCACTTTGGATTAAGTCCAACTGACGACAGAGTGAACACTTTTGGGCAGAAGAAGCCAAATAAACACATCGCACCGTAGGACCTGAGTATTTTAGTGGCCAAATTATTTGTGAAACACTTTTTGATAAACCTGACCACTTGAAATCTTTCTTCCACAGAATATGAGCCCCTGCTGCCTCCCACAATGTTTTGCATGGCCAACATGGTTGCCCATAGCATCAGCCATTCAAGTGAATTTGACCATAATGGCCATTGATGTCGTGAGCACTGGCAGGTTTTGGTTCTGTTATTTTAAAGCCCAGCCATTTGTTTTCATAGTGTGATCCTGCCTGGACAGCTTGAAATGATGCAAAGCAGGTCATTTGAATGGGAAAGTGGTTGAAGTCCTTTTGGCCGATGTCAGCAGTGTTCTCCCATTTGAATCCTCTCCAGAGCTAGTTGACTTTGCACATCCTTGTTGTTCCTGCTGCTGTTACTTGGGCAACTGCGGTCAGCAGCTGAGCAGCCCGGGCTCAAGGGCATCAGCATCGACACTGCACTAAGTGACCAAATTATTTAAAAAGCACACACTGCTTGATGTAGTGCGAGGGCGATAATGACAAATTTGTTGACCCTTTGTGCAAATTGCTGTTGTCAAGACAACAGCCACCTGCTGGAAATTGATTTGTTCAGACATGTTTGTGGTCATTTTGTTCAAACAGGTGGCGAGTTCAAGTGCGAACACTCCTACAGCTGTATCAAAATGTGATTTTATTTTTGTTTGTTTCATGCATCAGATTATGGCAAGAATATGAGGAAAAAATGCAAAATGTGCCCACATACCTAATGAAATAATTGATTTAAAGCCTGCATTTGCCTGTACATTTTAAAAAATGCAAAATTAAAGCCTGCATTTGCCTGTACATTTTTTTAAAGAACCATAGACAAAGAGCATATTGTATACACCAGTGTATTACAGGCTTCTGTAAATAAATTAAAATTGTATAAGAGCGTGGCACGATGTTGACTGGTTATTCATACTGTATTAAACACAATATTTTTGCCGTGGATCATTTGGTTCTGGGCCACACAAAAAGAATGAAAGGTTTTATGTTGTTTTAATAATTATTACATGTACATTATATATGTAGTAATTAAATCATTTATGATGCACTTTATTGCATATTTGACCCCCCCCCCCCACACAGTACACACTTCAGTGCTAGTCATGTGTAGAACCAGCCTTTGATGCAAAAGAACATTTAGTCCTGTTAGCTTCTCATGCTTGATTAACTTTTGTTTCAAACAGTCAATGCATTAAGCGTGTATTTACACACGTGGACTACAGTGGTTCAGTGGTATGACAGACTAGTCCAAAGTTGTTCTTCTTTCAGTGTTTTTATATACGCGTCTCCTGGCGTGGTGTTTGCTGAGAGGCAGCTGGTTCCTTTCCTTTGCTCGCTGCCATCCAATATTCATATCGTCACCATGTCATCGCACTAAAAGCGTACTTTCTTTCAACTTAGCAGCCGCTAAATGCATCCATGCATTTTTTAAAAACTGCAAATCTTATTCTGAACGAGGCACTTTAATTATACTTCACTGTGCTCCGGAGCCTTTTGCATATTCAGAGCACTAATTAACAATTCATTAATTACAAACAATCACATTTAATCTAAAAGTTAATAGGCATTAAAGGACTGGGTTGTTTGGGGGAGAATTTAGTGTAAAAGCAGAGTTAGATGACAGACCTTCTAAAAAAGTACATTTTTAAATATAAAAATACTCCATACATTTACTGTTGGACAGTGGGATTTATTATGAAGAGATGTATGTTCTTTCTCCCACCCTTCCACACGCACACACACGCTCACACACAGATATTCTCACATTATCGCCGCATGTCACATCCCACCTCTTTAGTTACAGAGTGCTGCACAGCTGAGCGTTTTTCTTGCCACTGGGAAGCGTCCCTTGGATAATGGTGCAATTGTGGCCCAGTCTGACAGAAAGAGACCTGTAAATTTGGACAAAGCTATTTTGGTGTACGAATTGGCAACCCCTCGCTTGTTGGCACAAGATCTTGTCATGTGCTCTGCTGCTCTCCTGATACCTGTCATGACACTTTTGGGGTGTCTTAATAAAACAGCGCACTCCCACGGCAGCTCTGTAGTCTCCACCTCCATCTTTAGTCTCTGCTACCTCGCCGCGTCTTCTTCTCTCTGTGAACATTTTATGCTAATGGACGATCTGTTGACGACAATTACATTCAGTCACCCTTTCGCCCTCTCCGCTGCCCCACTCCTGTCATCTGACATGACAGGAAAATCCAAGGCAGCAGTGGGTTTAATTTGAATGCGACTAATGCTATTTGAGCTCCTGTGCATGAAATGGTTCATAGAAGCTGAAGTAAGTATTTGCTGCCACATGCAGATAAAATAGGAACTCCACAGAAGGATTCCCAACTAACCGAAAGAGTTTTCCCCTTTTGGGTGCATTTGGAGCATTGACCGCTTTGAACTCCTCCAACACCGTGTCCAAAGATTTCACTCCATCAAGGTGTGCGGCTCTAATCAGCTGTGTTTGAAGTACACAGGTATCAGACTTTACGGAGGAGAGAAGATTTCCTGGGACATTAAGGGGAGAGAGGCAAGGGAGGAGAAACAGAGATTACTGCTGGTCTTTTTATAGAGGATCACTCCATCTTGTCCTTTTTATCTCACTCATTAGTTCTTGCTTCCCCCAGGAGGGAGATTTGATTCTCGGTCTGTGTCTTTTACCAAGACTAGGACCATGTTCCTCAGTTTGGCTTGGAACCCATCTGGTTATCAGTTAACCAAATTTGATTCCGGAGCCTTCCTGTCATTATCCACTCCCAGTCACAAAGCTCCTGTGTAGTCAGAGCTGCTCACATTCTGGCAGGTGCTCCACGTGGAGAAAAGAGTCGGCCCAGTGAAGGAAGGGGGCAGACAGTTGAATAATGATCAAACATGCTTTCCTTTGTTGCCACTAGGGGCTGTGGTTCCTCAGATGTCCCTGCACCCCATTTTCCCCTCTTAATGCCCCTGCATTTCTCGCCCTCCCCTTGGCTAGTACCTGTGAAATCAGTCATCCCTCTGTGGCCATCAAAAAATAACCGATACACGGCATCTGGCTGTCAGGGGAGTTGACCGCCTGACAGCGGGTGTACATTCTGGAGTAATCAGAAGTTGTCAAACATGAAGTGTCCTTTGCTATGACTACGAGAGGGTGTGTGCGCTTCTCTGTGTTTGCTTGTCCAATGTCAGGGCTCTGGCTGCAGCACTGATGTACTAATGGCCTCTTTATCAACAGGCATCATTAAATAATATCCTCCAACCACATCTCTGCCAGCGAAATTGTTGTTTAGCCCAGAAAATAGAGACACAGATGTATAATGGG